CGGGGGCCGAGCGGGGGCCGCAGAGGCGCTGCCAGCGCTGCACGTCGGCCACGTCGGCGCTGTACGGGGAGCTCCAGTCGCGCTCGAACACGGCCTGCAGCTGCGCGCGCACCGCGGCCGGGCCGGTGCCGCCCGTCTCGTTGACCACGAGCGCCGAGCCCGCCGTGCGCGTGAAATAGGCCCCGGACCAGTTGGAGGTCCCTGCGGGGGGAAACGGGGTTGTTTCGGGGGACAAGGCACCGCGGTGGAGCCGCACGCCGGTTCCGGGTGTTGCTCGCCGCGTTCCGGGTGTTGCCCGCCGGGTGTTGCTCACCGATATACGCCACCTCCTCGGTGACCATGTACTTGTTGTGGTTCACGCGGGCGTAGGGGATCTTGGCTTGCGCCGCGCTCGTCGGCACCATGAAAAGCCTCTGCGGGATGGAAAGGGACCGTCGGCAGCGGGAACAGCCCACCCCGATGTCACCGCGCCAGCGCGGTACCTACCACCTGCACGCTGTAGCGCGTCTCGTTGTCGGCCACGGCCGCCAGGGACTTGAGGAAGGGGAACATGTCGGCCTTGCTGTGGCGCCAGCAGCCCACGAGCAGCCGGACGCGCACGCGGCGCTCGTAGACGGCCTTGCGGAGATGGTCATCGATCAGCGGCCAGAACCTGCGCGGGGAGCGGCGGGGACGGGGACAGGGACAACACCAGGATCACGGTCAGGGCGAGGGGCTGGGATTAGTGTTAGGGCTTAGGGTTAGTGTTAGGGACAGCTTTAGGGTTAGGGTCATGTTCTCGGTCAGGGTTGACCAGCGTTAGGATTAGGGTTAGGATTAGGGACAGGCTCAGGATTGGGGTTATGGTTTAGGGTTAGGGTTTAGGATTAGTCTTCGGGACAGGTTCAGGGTTAGGATTTAGGATTAGGGTCAGTAACGGGGTTAGGGTCACGTTCTCAGTCAGGTTTAGGGTTAGTGCCAGGGTCAAGCTCAGCATCAGGATGAGGGTGAGGGTCCAGCTTAGTTTTTGGGCCAGGATGAGCATTATGGCTCTCGGTTCCGGTGTGGGGACGCGGGTGAGCGCGGCGGTACCTGCGGGGGTGCGAGAACTCCATGGTGGGCAGGTAGCTCATGACGGCGACGTGCACGAAGTCGCGGGCCGCGTCGATGACGCCGAGCAGCGCGCGCAGGT